AAAATTTAGAACAAAAATTTTAAAAAATATACAAGAGAAACGGAATAAAATATAAAAATAACACAAAATAAAATTAAAATATACAAGAGAATATATAAAAATAACACCAAATAAACTAAAAAATAAAAAAATATATAATAAATATAATAAATCTTCCAATAAACTAATTCTAGCTTGAGTTTTCAGTGAACTTTTTAATCATGTATTTCCACGCCGACGACAGGCTCTCAGCATCTCTCGCATTTAAACATCCCTCACGTAGCCTACTCCTATATATTTCAATCTTCTCCGNCGAGGTTCCCCGAGTCCGGCCCACCGGTGGCCCAGCGGTCTTCGTACCCCGAACGCTGGGAGTTCGGTCGCGGGTTTGCGCCCGGCTCGGACGGGCCGGACACGAGGAGTTTTCCGGGTTTTCTCCACGTCAGTAAGGCCTAAATAGGGGCAAGTTTCCCTTTAAAAGACCTCCCGGAAGGCATCTCCCCTAGGCAGATCGCCCGAGTGTCGCCTTGCCGTAAACAACAATAATCCCCGAGTCCAAAAATGTAAAAAAAATTTTGGGGGTCATCTTTTGTCCGATCGCTATACTTTCCTTATGTTATATATACTTATACCAGTCGGGAAAAGTAGAAACGAAAAGATTATTCTTAATTTTATATTCTATATATATATTATTGTAACAGTAATATATATACTGATATATACATATATATATACACATTAAAAAAAGTCGGGTTTTTAAAACATATGTTTTTTTTATTTTTGTAAGTCAGATAATTATATACTGTCCGATATATCATTAGTACAGACGTATCGATTATTTTGGGAGTTCCAGACAATCGTTTTCGTATAGAACACTTTCCATCGAGAACTAATGCATCTCATTTAATCAGTCCCGAAAATAATTTTCGGTCACTGCAATCGATAGAGCTATCTTAAAGAAAGGATAATACAAATCACAATGCTTTTATCTTTATATAAATCCACGTCTGTACTATAAAAGCCCTTTTTGTAGTTTTTACTCTTTCCGTCCCTTAGGGAATCCAAGAGCCTTTTACTATGCCCATTGAGTTGGCGATGGGACGAGTGGATCTTAACGCATCCGGGACAGAAAAAATTTTCTAGACCATTCGGCTTATATTAATGCCTTTGTAGCGGAGGTTTCGAAGGCTTAATCCTAACTACTCTTAAGCATTAGGTATTGCGGGGCTCCGGAAAAGCTTATTAGCATGACTCCAAAATAATTATAATACCGGCAATGCGGCGATCCGTATTTGACGGTGTCTTTTATCTCGTCGTACTCGGTACCGGCGTCGATAAAAGGACAAAGAATCAATACAAACTTAATTAAAATATTTTCCATATCGATACATTCCCGAAACATCAAAAATTCTTAGAAATCTGTAAGTGTCTTAAGCGCGGGGCGTGGGTCCGAGGCCCGAAAACCGACGTTTGTTCGGGGGTCCCGTTCTTGGCTCGGTTTTGTGTCGAGAGGTAGACGTTGCTAGACGAATGTGAGGTTACACGAATTACACGAATGTACACGTGGGTTACACGAATGGACAATCGAACATAAACCCGGTGTCGGTCTCTGTGGGCTTAAGATTAGTTCTGTAAGCAGCGAGTACGTTGCGCTGGCAATATGCTAAAAGTATTGGCTTTTTTGTAAATGAATCGAAGATTATTAGAAGTTAATCGATCCCTAGAGAGTAAACGAAGATTGGATATCGAGTAGCAATTTATATTAAGCAACGAGATTCATTAATTATTCTTATCGTTACTGGTTTCGATGAATATTATAGGAAAATGCAAGAGTTCCAGATGCTTTTCAGAGCAGAAAAAAACTATTATGGATATTTTCGTGACAATTATAAAATCTTAATAAGAGATACGATGTCTAGAAACATTTCTCTTTATATATCGCTGCCATATAAAGAGATATGATCAATACGGAATCCAAATCTATGGAATATGGAACTTCATAATATACTGATGTTTACTTCATCTACAAATAACTTAGCGTAAAAAGCTTTTTTAATGGGTTGTAATGTTTTTACCATAATGTTAAATAAAAATCAAATTAAGCAATAAAAAGTAGGAAAAAAACATGAAAAATCGCTTAAAATATAGAAAATAAAATCTCTCGATAACGATTTTGTGTTACTTGGTGCCGACTGTTACGTAAAAAAATCGATTTTGATATTAAACGAACTCTGTTATATAAAATTCGGTACAAAAATCGCATCATTCGTCGCTGTTTCGGCTATTAAAAATGCTTACGTTTCCTCTCGAATGCAAATATGACCCTGAGCCAAAACTTAGGGCTGCATTCCATCCAAACAAAAACTGATCTTTATCAATGACGGCGGAGAAGATTGAAATATATAGGAGTAGGCTACGTGAGGGATGTTTAAATGCGAGAGATGCTGAGAGCCTGTCGTCGGCGTGGAAATACATGATTAAAAAGTTCACTGAAAACTCAAGCTAGAATTAGTTTATTGGAAGATTTATTATATTTATTATATATTTTTTTATTTTTTAGTTTATTTGGTGTTATTTTTATATATTCTCTTGTATATTTTAATTTTATTTTGTGTTATTTTTATATTTTATTCCGTTTCTCTTGTATATTTTTTAAAATTTTTGTTCTAAATTTTGATTTAAATATGTATATTCTATACATGGAACGTATCTGTTCCATTTTCGTTTTTTGAACCTGAAGATGGCCTGTTAATCAGGTTGAAAGCGTTTGTGTTTAAAATATATAATTCTCAGCAAAATTAAGGTGTTCTAATATATATACACCACTAGATATTAGAATAATGTAGGGGGAAAAATGATTTTGAGCCTCTCAATTCAATATCAATTATCCTCTACTCATCAATGTAAATGAGGAGATTCAAAAACATTATGATACAATAAATTATTAACTTCTATATTTCAGTCTGCTCTGTTTCAGATTTTAATGCTCATATTTTCATTTCACTTTTCTAGTCAAAGTTCACATGGTACTATTCATAATTTTTGATAAATAGTCATGTAATTTCTAAAATTATAAATTAAAATATAAATTTTAACAAGAAACATTAATCAATGTATTATTTGTGATTTAAATTTTGTAAAACAATACTAAAAGTATGAAACAAACTAGATAAAAATTTCCATGCCTAGTTGCTATTTATAATTAACATTTAGTTAACAGTTTCATTTTAATAAAAAATTTGAATATTTCTTATACTAGATTACATTTATTGTTTTTAAACTGATAAAAGTCACTGATCAAGCTAATAATATAAAATATTTATTGTCTGAATTTATGTATTTTACTGCAAAGGATTACAAAACATATTTAACTAGTAGATAATTAGTCTTATTATGAAATGTTTTATAATTTCTAATTGGTTACAACTTTAAATCTTATTGTTGTGCATTCTTTATACCTATTTGTTCTCGTTGCTTTTTTTAGTTGATTCTGAAGATAAACCACTCAAAGATCTTAATTAACAGTAAAGGATTAATGACCCCTAAAACCAAGCTGTGCTTTAACTTTATTAACTCACTAGCTAAGGTTTTACTTTGGGAAAATGATATACTGTATTAAGTATAGTTAATATATGCCTAAAATCACAACAATTTTATATCTAAATAAATTCTAGAAACAGTCTGACTCAAGCAAAAATGGCCATGGTCAAACATTCCACACTACATTTTGCTCAAACAACAAGCTCACCAATCAAATTTCATTTGACCAGTTTTCACTGATTTCTACTGTAGCTCATTAATAATCCCAACATTAACCTGCTGTATTTGAATTTTATGGATCACATCACACTTACTGACCTCCAGGCAAAACATCTATTCACCAGAAAGATCTGATAAGAACCAGATGTGAACTATTTACTCTTACAAACAGTATCATAATTCTATCAAAGCTTATAAAAATCAAATTATTTTTAAATTCTGTTCACATAGAATATTGCCTAAAACAAAACTGCAGATTAGCATGAATATTTGTTTAAAACATCTTTTTATTAAAATCATTATAATTATTAAACTTAATTAAAAAATTAAAATTTTAATAAATATTTGAAAAAATTATGATTTTAAAATTATATCTAGATAAACAGATATCAGATAGTGTAATTTATTAATTAAACTTTTTGTTCTTTCAATGTGCAACACCCAAAGGCAGTTCAAATTAACATTACAATCTGCCGACATGATTAATACATTAGTTTAATGTAACGTTTTGTTAGAAGATTGCTACATCTTTGTTACAATAATTGAGTTAAATTATGCAGCAAACTCTAAGATTGTGCAATTCTGTCAAACCATACTCTTAATAGTCTTTTTTGAATTTCATTACACTTCAGATATATAATTCCAAAGTAATATTTAATCGTCATTAAAAATTATCACAAGTATTTTATATTCTTACGGTATTATTTCAAACTACCATTATTAAATAATGTAACGGAAAATATGTACTCTTATAAACAAGAATTTATGTCTTTAGCAAATTAATTTTTTGACCCAATTTGATAAACCTTCAAATAAAAATTCAAAAAATTGTAAGCGTGTATAATTCATCATAACAATATACTAATTTGACATACATTTATATGAGAATATATCAGAATAAAACTAAAAATGTGTTTTACATTATAAATAATAATAATAATATATCTAAAATAATTCAGTGTCTGATCTTCCAAACTAAATTCTTATTTAAATGAGGGAAAAAGTCTAATCATTTGAATAAACTTTGAAATTAATCAATTTCTTGAAATTGATTAATTTCAAATTCAAGAAACCATTTGAATATCACCAGCAAACATTTGCCATTTGTAAATAAATTTATGAATCACGTAAGATAAATATGAAGCAGATTTTCTAATCACAATTTACTTTAACACCCACAAAACATTATTTATTACCCCATTTACATATTTAAATAATTAAACATTTAGATTTTTGACTAAATTTGGACGTAAGAAATTCACCTGACTGTTTGATGCATTTCTTCGTTTTTAAAGTAAAATGTCGGTAACTTCTAACTGACAATATCATTATGTGAATACGGACGACACGACAAATTGTAACGATTTAAAATCGACGAAACTTCCTCACAAAATTAGATAAGCAAATTCCTTGCCATTCATCTAAACACCTACAAACCATAAGCAATGTGATATTTACTAGCACCGTCTGGTGTCGAAAATTTAAAATTATTTTTATCGTAATATTATAATTTTCTACGCGACGCGCGGCGGGGGTAACGGGAAATCATAGTTGGCATTAAATCACTTGCAATCGATTCCTAAAATTAGATTTACTCTGTGGTGAGGGATTCTGATTACAATACGAAACACGTAACAAATTTTAAACTGTTAAGCATTAAATAATAGCTTGCGCTCAAGGTCGGATGGCTGAGCGGTTACCGCTCTGTGGGACCGAGTCGAATTCGAACGGGCCGAAAAGCCAAAGAATTTTTCGAGGTAGTCCCAGTGCTGTGCGATGTCTATAATTTTAACATCGATGTTTGCCTAAGCATCGATGCTAAATTTCGATGTCGGATTTCACATCGATGTTTGATCGANATTCTGATGCAAGGTTAGATATGCAATGTAATACATCATTGATGATGATAAGGTTCATCACACTTGTGCTGTATGTCTTCAAAAAAATAGATTACAATACTGTAAGAAGCAATTATTTATTGTGACATTGTCACAATGCCAGGCTGCAATTTTTAATCATATTTTTAATAATTTTTTAATTTAAAATATATGCTCTCCACCTCAAATTATTAGTGTCTTGCTCCTGTACATACTTTTCCGTTAACAATAGAGCCGTGGCAGTTGTCTAACTCCTTTCAGGAGAAAATTTTTGAATTAAAAAAACCTTAGTTAATCAGAGCCTCCTGCCCTTAACCTTTTCATATCTGGTTTCAGCTTTCATCTACATAACACCATTCTTGAGATTAAGAAAAGATATGCAGACAGACAAAAAAAAAATGGATGGACAGGCAGATGCCAGTGGGAATTTATAGGTCTACAATATTTCAAATTATAGCCTAAAAATTAACCCTAAATATTGTTTCACTGCTAGTTTAATGTTTAATCTTAATAATTATAAAAAATTTAATTTGAACCACTCCATATTGTCTTAAAACACATATGGGCAAGATAGGGTATTTTACATGATTTCGTAAACATTGTAAAAGGAAAAAAAATATAATTTGAATTTTTTTCTAATACACACTCTTGAGCACTGAATGACAAGATCTTTTTCCCAGGTTGAGAGTCAATTATAAAAAATAAAAGGTCCTTAACTCTTTACTTCAAGATATACTATAAGATATATTTTTATATAATTCTGTAAATAATTTATTTTCATTTTATAAAAGTTTTTAACAAATTAAAAAAAAAAAAATTATATTTGTTTTTGGATATATTGTTATCTGTAATGAAAGCTAAACTGTTCATTAAGAACTAATAAATCTGCTGGATTTTGCAAGGTCATAATTAATACTGGTCCAATAATTAATAAGTGAAACAGCAGTTTTAATAGTTTATTTAATTAACACTAGATTTATTGTCTTTGTTTTCTAAGCATAGTAATTTCTTTTAATATTGAATGTTTAATATAAATATAATTGTAAATTATTACTTTATTAAAAACTTCAGTGATTATTTTAGTAATAATTTTAGAACAGATTTCCAATAAGCCATTTCTAATATTTTTACATGTTATACACAATTCTATACTGTCTGAAAATAACAAATTACAGAAAAAAATATATCTGAAATAATTAATTTATATACAGTAATCATTATATATATTACTGTATACTTACTGTAATATAATATACTGTTATATTATATTATATATATATATATGATAATAATATACTGATATGATATGATAATAATATGATATATGATATATATTACTGTATACTCACATTATATACATTATATATATTACTGTATATTACTGTATGATAATTACTGTATATAATCTAATGTATATATATGATGATTATTGTATATATTTTTAAATTCCCATTATCTCATTTCATCCTGAAAATGAATCTGTATAACTTTTTTATAATGCTCTATTTTAATTCCTCTATTTCCAGAAAATTCAAAGTAATTTATAGATATTTTGTCTTAAAAAATATAATATAATTTTAAAGTGTCAATTTAATTTTTTTAAAATTGATTATTATAAACAATTTTTTGGTAGTTTAAACAACCATCAGGTTACAAGAGACACTTCAAAGAAGAATGCTGTATACATACAGTAGAAGAATCTACTGTATGGTATACAGTAATTCTACTTTACTGTATAGTATACTGTAAGTACGCAGGCATCTTTAAAATTAAAAAAAAGTTCCATTCTGCATAGCATTTTTCTTTTGAATATCAATTGATAATTATGTTTTTATTAAGTGCAGAAAAGCTGTAAAGTTTCCATTTTTAGGAAGGAAAAATAAAAATTTTATATTTAGTAAGAAAACGAAGGAATGTTTCCAAAAATTTGTTTGAAGTTATGATTTATGGAATTATGCTATTTATTGTTAATATAGTGTTTACCTTATTTATATAAAAAAGTGTGTTTTAGGTATGTTANCTCTGTTATATATAACAGCCGGAAAAGTAAAAATTATCGAATACATATTTATATATTACTTAGAGAAGTATTTTAGCTTTGGAATAAAAAGTTTCTACGCTCTATCTTTATTACAACTTTATTTATTGAATATTTTATTCTGAGGTCACGTGATAACATCAGAATTTCCTGGTCTCTTTCGGTAACAAGTCTGCCCCTAGTCGGAGTCGGATGGTAAGGAAAAGTCGGAGTCAGTAGATTTTTACGCAAATCCACAGCCCTGATTGTAACACAAAAGACCAGGTAGCACATCATTATTGTTTTTGCAAATTTGTATATATCTTTGTTTTATATTTTTTTGGGTCGCGAAAAAAATCACAACCATAAATGGGGTCGTGAATAAAAAAAGTTTAAGAAGCCCTGACTTAAGGTGATAGCAGTGCCAAATTTTGTCTTAGAAGCTGAATTTTGAAGTAAATCAATTTTTTTCAGAAAATCAAAACAGCACACTCAAAACAGCATGTGTACCAAATGGGGTTGAGATTTGCTGACCAGTTCTTTCTACCAAGTACTTTGAATATCTACTTTTTAATGATTGCTTTGTACATTAAGTAATTTATTTAAAAATGAAACTTTTAGCACTGATCCATCTGCTGATCAGTTAGACTGAATTGGTATAAAAAATTAATCATCATCATCAAACAAATTTTGCAAAGCAAAAATGCTCTTTTTGACTATTCCTGTGACAAACAGATGCTAAATCATCATCATCATTTTAAGTCAGGAAAATGANATACGTGTATCATCGTACATGCAAAAAAAAGTCGACAGAGGTTTTTTTTACTCTTTCTGCCCTGTGGTTACTAAGAGGACAGGCCCATTATGGGGCGGCCATAATGGGCTACATAGCAGGCCCATTATGGGTTCGGCCAGGCCCACAATGGGGCGACCGGGTGGTGAGGGACGGGGCCCGACATATCCGAACGGACCAACCCCCGAAAAATTCCTGGGGATTCCTTGACCCGTCTGGATTCGATCCCAGGTCCCCCAGAGCGGTAGGCTGCCACCTTGACCGTTCGGCCATCCCGCCTCAAAGTCGACAGGTCGCGCGCCACAAGTCGGTGTAAACCAGTGTTTCTCAACAGGGGCGATATCGCCCCCACGTGGGCGTTTTTCCATGTTGAGGGGGCGATTAGTAACAATTTATATTTTGTGGGACGAAAAACAATTTTCTGGGCGATATAATAAAACATTATATTAAGAATAATTAGATATTTTATTCGTTATATCGTACAATAATTAAACAAATAACATTATACTAGTCACTAGTCTATTCAAAGCAGTACGAATTTGGCGTTAGCCTTGGCCCTGGGCATCGGAATTTTGAAGTGAAGTGGGCGATACTACGTAACGGTTTTATTGAAGGGGGCGATACTACGTTGAAGGGGCGACGATTCGTTAGAGGTTGAGAAACACTGGTGTAAACAGACTAACATTGCAGAGTTGCAGATGAGTTTCAATGAGTGTGAGTTCGTTCACTGTTAAAATAGTGTAAATTTGTAAACATATTTGCAAGAATTTTGTTTCATCGCAATTTCACAATTTCTACGAAATTCTCGGACTGTCCGGATGAAAACCAAACAGGTGGTAACACTAGGAACAAAGAATGAACTGCATGCATCGATGAATCAAAATTCACATACAGTATTGCTAACATCGAATCAGGATCGATGTTTCAAAAACATCGGAAGGTCGATGCATCGACGAACAAAAACATCGATGTGTCGATGTCGCATCGATGCATCGCACAGCACTAGGTAGTCCATCCAGATATGTCGTACCTCGTCCTTCATCAACCCACTGGCAGCATCTCTCGACTATGCTACCAATTCTGCTTACAAGATGGACGCCTTCATACGAAAATATCTTATCAGACGAGGAAATAAATAATCCTCATTTTCTAATAATGTCGTACTTATTGGCTTCTTTTTTAATAACATTTAAAATATGCATGGAAATATAGTAGAAAGCTGATTATTATATCAGCCGTTTTGATGTACAGTAGAGCGTCGATTATCCGAAAGTCAATTATCTGAAACGTCAATTATCCGAAATAATTACAGTCGGCAAATTTAAATTTTCGCCAGTGCTGTGGCGCTGCAATCTTTGGCTATGTCTTGGGCTACTCAAATATTTTACGTTTTTGATACTAAATCAACTTCTGAAGTATAATTTTTTATTGTTTTTATATTTTTCAATATATTTATTTTGTTTGTACAAAATAAAGAAATAATTTTTAACGATACAATAAGTCATGATTATTATTTCAAAAAGTTTACGTTAGGCTTATCATCGACGAAAATTCACCGCGAAGTGACACGCAACGGAGAAAAATTTCAACTCGGGATAGGTTAATATATTATTTCGTACATAATCGGTTATCCGAAATATCGGTTTTTTCCCCCGGAACAATCCGTCCCCAATTGATTCGGATAATCGACGCTCTACTGTAATCGAATCAGCTGTTTTTTCAACTCTTTCCGTCCTATGGGCACTAAAAGGGTCTCTTTTAGCAAGCCCAGTATAAATTTGGCCAGACCAACAATAGAGTGGTTGGGTAGTGAGAGACGGACCACCCGAAAAAATTCTTAAATAATTCTTTTTCGACCCAGTTCGGATTTGATCCCGGGTTTCCCGGATCCATATGTTGTCGCCTTGACCGCTCGGTCATCCGGCTACCTAGCAAACGTGTGTTTTCAACTGTTTTCAGCAAAAACGTCACTTTTAGTAACAACTGTTCAGAACACTGACGAATAAAACAATGCACGGTATAGGTTTAATAATCGAGTGTATTTGCTAAAAACATTTGCAAGCATGTTGAATAAATATATCTGTGAGAATGTCTATGGATTAAATTGAAAATTTTAAACAATTTAACTAAATACGATCGTTACTATGAAATAAATAAATAAAGTAGGAGAACTTCGTTACCGAATGAAGAGTAGCGAGGGCTTCAAACTAATGTTAGATCATGAAAGACGAGATAAATTTAGGAAAACGATGAAAGAACATTTTTCATCAAAAGCTTTGTTTAACGTTTTCGATATTTGTATGGAAAACTTTAAACAATGTAAGCAGTTGTAGATATTTTAGTCTCTTAAACAAAATATGATAATGGGCAAGGTCTTACAATATTAGATTCTCATATTGAAGAAACGATTCTTGGATGCTTATAGAAGTTTGCTCTTCATTTTCCCCCGATACTCCAGTTTAAAAATATTTCCATTCTTTTGATACATAAAAAATTTTTTTCTTTTAACAAAATTGCAATTTGCACAACATTCCCAACACAACTCTTTCTTAGAAATTTGCAATTCGCATTTTTTAAAAATTGTTGTAGACAGACTATTGTTGCAGAGTCCAGGAAGATTATCATCAATGCTAGAGCATTTGAAAATAATCTTCAAAGATTGAAGATTTTTACTGTAGATTGAAGATAATCTTCCTGAATGCATTGATACATTCAGGAAGATTATCAATGCATTCACGAAGATTATCTTCCTGAATGCATTGATGCATTCAGGAAGATTATCATCAATGCTAGAGGTATTATCGTTTGTTCAATTATTGACATGCTGCCTTCTTCAATTTGGGGCTAATGTATAAAGACCATTTAAGAAACAATCAGATGCAGATTTTGGGTTTTTAGTGAAAAGATCCTTCAAGTCTTTCTTTTTCATTATCGTAAAGACTACTGAAAAAAAATTTCCAACGACGAGTTGCATAACTTTCACGACCAAATTTTAAAATCGTGTGTGGCTCCATCTGTTATGAGATGTTATTTTTAAAATTTTTATATTATTAATTATTATCAAAGCAGTACGAATTTGGCGTTAGCCTTGGCCCTGGGCATCGGAATTTTGAAGTGAAGTGGGCGATACTACGTAACGGTTTTATTGAAGGGGGCGATACTACGTTGAAGGGGGCGACGATTCGTTAGAGGTTGAGAAACACTGNAAAAGTCGTATTTATATTTTTATGTATTAAATGTAAATAACGCCGGCCATGAATTTTATTTTTACTTAAAATGTATTATTGTGAATGTGGCAAAAACACCAGAGGACGCTCTACCTATTTTTACATTTTCTTGCGGAGGTAGTAGCCTCAAAGGAAAGGTCGTCTCCGTAATTTTGTGAACTTTTTTAAAGGATTGCTGATGGTGAAAAACGGCGAAAAGGAAGGACAGACACAAAGTTTTTAACTTTGTTTAAAAGTCGTATTTATATTTTTATGTATTAAATGTAAATAACGCCGGCCATGAATTTTATTTTTACTTAAAATGTATTATTGTGAATGTGGCAAAAACACCAGAGGACGCTCTACCTATTTTTACATTTTCTTGCGGAGGTAGTAGCCTCAAAGGAAAGGTCGTCTCCGTAATTTTGTGAACTTTTTTAAAGGATTGCTGATGGTGAAAAACGGCGAAAAGGAAGGACAGACACAAAGTTTTTAACTTTGTTTAAAAGTCGTATTTATATTTTTATGTATTAAATGTAAATAACGCCGGCCATGAATTTTATTTTTACTTAAAGAAATAATTTTTAACAATACAATAGCCACGATTATTATTTTAAAAAGTATACGTTAGGTTTAACATCGACGAAAATTCAACGCGAAGCGACACGCAACGGAGAAAAATTTCAACACGGGATAGGTTAATATATTTTTCCGTACATAATCGGTTATCCGAAAAACAAGTTAACCGAACAACCTCAGTCCCCAATTGATTCGGATAAACGACGCTCTACTGTATAACAATTGACCCCCCGTTTATCTAGGATTGAGGCCCCTTCTTCACTTTTAACCACCAAAATTTAATAGAGTAATCCACCTAATAACCAAACCTGTCTGCAAAATTTCAGAAATTTTAGACAAAAGGCACAGGAGTTATTAAGCTTCAAAGATAGCGAGTGTGGGGTCGCCGAACCGCGCGTAAGGGCAAGATGTCAGAGTGGTGTCGAAACTTGAGTGGGAGTGTCGATGACAGAGACAAATCTCTCCAGTTACAACAGTTAATCCGGTTTATTGTGCAATTATGCTTACAACATATTAAATTTCCATCAGTGTGCGGATTCCGGTTTCTAGTTCTTCCAGTTAATCGTCGCGTTGTCAGGAGACGATTAACAGTTGGGATAAAGGTTAACAAGTTCGGAGTGGGAGCGAACTTGCGAAGTCGGCGAAAATTCCCTTTACTTTTTCAGAAGAATGTTCACCAGCATGGATACAGACTGAGGTACGCTCCGTGTGTGCTAAATTAGGATTTTATATCTTTTTTTTTTGGATCTCAGATCGAACATTTAGATAGGTCGATCCGACTCACTTCCGCTTTTGAATTGGTCTTCACTCGTTACTAAATGTAACGAGATCGGAACTCAGATCGCGAGATAAGTCAACATCAATTCGATCCCCATGGTTGATCTTTAGGACCTACGTCATTCTATTGTTTTAATTTGAAAAGTTCATTTTTCTAAGTACAGGTATTACATTTAAACGTGCCATTTTATGGACATAAATTTTTATCTTTCTTTTATTGATTTTACAAAATAATACTTTTTTTTTCTTTTGTTAGATCGAGCATTTCCTTATATAGCATAATTTTTCCATGTTTTTTATCACTGTTTTACATAATTAAAACATAAAATTCCTTTATAATATTGCGTTCTGGGACATTTTCGGGTCCTCACATGAGCAAAATCATATCGCACACTATCCAAACCTACGGAAAAAACCCCAATTTCTTTTGTATTTCTTAACGTTTCAAGGCCCTAGACCAGGGTGGCTAACAGTTTTTGCCCCCGGGCCGAATTGGAAAGAAAACTTTTTTCATGGGCCGAACCAGAGGCTGCCCTAGGAAGATTTTGAAATAGTGCGAGATCTCATTGTGGTGTCACCCGTAGAGACTAAATTGTACATAGAGATTACAGATACATTTTTCACATTATCATGCATTATGAGCATTCTACGCTGTACTTAAGACATTTGTAATGGAGCGTTAACTCTAAACGCAAAAGGCCTGATGGCCGAGCGGTCAAGGTGGCAGCCTACTGCTGTGGAAGATCCGGGATTGAATCCGTACGGGTCAAAGAATCCCCAGGAATTTTTCGGGAGAGACGATCCGTTCGGATACGTCGGACCCCGTCGTCCCATTGGGACCCCGTCGTCCCATTGTGGGCCTGCCTTAAAAGACCCTCCTAGTGCCCACAGGGCGGAAAGAGTAAAAAAAACTCTAAATGCACAGTGAGCTGTTGATCTTTTCTTTTTCTAGGCGTCAGCTATTCGGACTTTAATAATAATTTTTGAAAGATTAATCGCGGGCCGCATAAATTCATTAGACGGGCCGTATGTTGGCCATGCCTGCCCTAGACCAAAAATGTAAAAATCTTGGGGGTTATTTTTTGACCGATCGTTATACTTCCCTCTGTTGTATGTAACACCCTGAAAAATAATAAATGTAAAAATAATGATTTATTCCGTAATATAATAAGAGTATGCACAATTTTAAAATTAGTACATATCAGTAAAATTTTCCAGTGAATGTGAAAAACGCTCAGAAAAGAATATTTATAAAAACAATTACTACATTTTTAGACTTAATCCATTAGACAGGAAACGGCTAAAATGAGATTATTCTGAAACACATTACTGCTTCAAGAATAAGACTTGCGACCATTCCGAATTAACCGGGATTTTGCAGGCAAAATCGTCCTGAAAACGCATTTATTTTCTTGCATTTCCCGGATTCAGAAACACAGACGTTTGCATAAATTCACAATGTTCAATGTTAATTCAGGACATTCTTCAATATTTTAATTTTTGAAGTTAGACTATTTACAAAAACATATTAATATTTTCGAGTCTATTATTAAATCCTTTTCACACAACTACAGAAGACACAGTTACATTGGTTAGAAGATAAAACTTCTTTAAAAGACAAATAATAAAAGGTAAAAAATTCACAATGTTTAAAAATGATCAAACGCCAGCCTTTTATTATAGGATCTGACGTTTTTTACATTAAAAACTTAAGAATCTTCTCACCAACCATCAAGTCCTTTGCCAAATTTTATAACTGNAGTCATGATGCAGACTTTTGCGGTCGCCATTGAGATCGATTGCGATTGCGGCAGAGATTTATTCTCAGTCGCACTTATTGCTCCAGTCTACTGACTTTTTACTGCTCGATGTAGTCATGATGCAGACTTTTGCGGTCGCCATTGAGATCGATTGCGATTGCGGCAGAGATTTATTCTCAGTCGCACTTATTGCTCCAGTCTACTGACTTTTTACTGCTCGATGTAGTCATGATGCAGACTTTTGCGGTCGCCATTGAGATCGATTGCGATTGCGGCAGAGATTTGTTCTCAGTCGCACTTATTGCTCCAGTCTACTGACTTTTTACTGCTCGATGTAGTCATGATGCAGACTTTTGCGAGAAATTCCCTACATAAATAATGTACAATTTTAACAACCGGTTCGCCGAACTAAAAATAGAGAGGTTGAGGCGCACGTTTTAAACGTGTAAACGTGTACGTGTGACGTTCGGCGCAGCTTTCCCGTAAGCCTAAAAGTTTGACGATGGTGTTTGAAATGTCGAGCGTGATTCCACCGACTATCCAAACACCATTGTCAAACTTTTAGGCTTACGGGAAAGCGGCGCCGAACGTCACACGTACACGTTTACACGTTTAAAACGTGCGCCTCAACCTCTCTATTATTTTAGAAAGCGTTCTGCGGAACCGGTGAGAACAGGCTGAATCCTACCACTTCTTTAACTCCTCGGCTATCCGGCAGTTAATCGAATCCGAGTAGGAACCGCACGAATTTTCCTTCCAGGGCCAATCTGACTCGGATAACCGAGAGGATTAAGGCATCAACCTACCGTTTGGGCAACCCAGGAACCGAATCCGGTCGTGTCAAAAAAACACCAAGAATTTTTCGGGAATAGTCTTGCTTTTTTTTAAACAAGCCAATTATGAGTTCGGCCAGGCCCACAATAGGGCGGCCGGGTGGTAAGGGACGGGGGCGTCAACATATCCAAACGGACCACCCCAAAAAATCTCTGGGGATTTATCGATCCGTCCGAATTTGAACCCCGGTCCCCAAATTGCCACATTCACCGCTCGGCCATCCAGCCTAAACTCGGAAGAGCTTGATAAAAAGGTACTCTTGGTATCCACAGGGCGTAAGGAGTAAAATACACCTGGCTTCGATTCCAGGTTTCTCAGAGCTGTAGAACGGACGACATCTTTACTGAATCATCCACACGGCCCTCTCTTTTTGGAGGCCATTGAAAGTACAGTGTAATTTCCACGAAAGTTATTCGACACTAGAAAGACAGAATTTCTTATATGTATCAAATAAAAAACTATTTTGTTAACAAAATTTGAAATTACACGCTTTTTTAATTATTTACTGATGGGTGATCACGTGAAATATCGTATAACGGATATGTAATTTTGCTGTGTTTCGGCTTATAGTTTACTTCGTGTATCTTGGTATATCAATTCTAAATCAATACCAGTTTAGCGTGTTTAATTTAAATGGAAACGAGTTTCGAAAGGTTGTCGACCTGTACTGACTCCTCTTCCTTGCATTTCCTTTCGAATATTTCAACTCTTTCCTTTTTAAACTGTTACAAACGTTTTTCAGTACGTAACTCATAATATATCGAGAATGACCAGATATTTATCAAACAGTAACCTAATTAAAAAATATGCGTACTTCGTACGTCTACCATCCTCATATATCATATGACTAAGTTAATCATACGTTGCAGATATATAAAACAGAAAAATACGGATTACAGATACAGATAGCATTAAAACATTTTCTCTCTTTAAAAACTCGATTTTTTTATTGACAAAAAGATATATTAGAAATTTTATTAATATTTTTTATAGTAGTTTTACGCTATTATAAAAAAATTATTGAAAGATATTATATTTTCCTACACTTTTCACTATTACACTGCATTTTTATTATCTCAACGAATTAGGAAACTTGTATAAAGTGATAAATTCCGCATAGGAAAAGTTCTGATAAAGATTTTTCGTAAGCAACTGTCGTACTGTTTATCATCTTGCTCAACACTCCAAGGTCGAGGTTTCTGGTTACTATAAAAGGAACGTGCTCCTCACCTCTCCGCTTCCTGAACAGTTTGCTTCATACAGAGCGATGGCACCTAATAGAAAACCTGAAATTAAATACACTCAGGTAATTTGGAAAATTTAAATATTTTTAAATGCATTTATTGCACTATCATAAATATTTAAATTATATTGATCAATTTTGATCAAGTTTCTGAAATTGATTAATATTAATTGATCAATTATAATTCTTGAAATTGATCAATTTTCAGGAACTTTCTTGTAACAAATTGCTAAATATTTAGTATTTAGTTTATTAGCATGTATAATTTTGAAATATATTTAAAATACTGTACTGTATTAAAAATATTATTCATAAACAGTTTAACAATTTTAATATATTCTTTAGATAAGAGTGTGCTTTATTATATAATAATAAGCATTATCTAATTTATTCATTAAAATAATATGATTGCAGAACAAGGTCAAAATTGTCTGAATTTGATATCTTTCTAACTGCCAGATAAGTTAAAACTTGGTGAAAGTTTTAGATTTTTTTTTATTTAATGAATTATTAAGAAATTTATTTCTCTTCCTTTTCCTGTAAGGATGTGTAATTAAAATGTGTAGCCACATTTTTCTCCCCTCTTCTTTTCTATGCAATCTTTGCAACATTAATATGAAAGAATACTAAAATTATACATAAGCTGGAATATATAATTTTGTTCAACTGTGAAGTAAACTATTGTCAAAGTTTTTTCTTGTTTATAATTTATGCAGGATCTTCATTCAGATCGTAACAATATTGCTTGGTTTATCAATTCGGCTATAATTGTGTACAATTCAAAAAATGCAGAAAATTTACGTGAGTCCTGTGAAGGATAGTTTGAAGTTCTTGCAATCTATTCATCTAAATTGTATTACTGCTAATGTATATATAGATTATTTATCAGAAACTGAGATTAGATTTGTTATCTATCTATCTAATCTTTTGACAAGTATTTAAATATTTAAACTACATTTAAACTGCAGAAGATTGTATCAATTTAGTTGTAATATAATCTTCATTTTTAAAAATGTGCATTATAAGCAAACTAATTGTCAATAACACAATTAAAATAGTAAAAAAGTTTTACATAAGTATAAAAAAAAATACCATATTTTAATCATAAGTAGTATTTTTAAATAATTAGTAATTGTTAGGCATCTGTTTTTATTTATTAATTGAAATCTTCTGTTGAACATGCTCTGAATAAGATTTTGTAAGGTCTTCATATCCACCTCTTCCTAGGCCTGCAGCATTGCATTTTTAGATATTCTGATGTGAAAGAATGGTTATCTTCATGTACTTTTCTTTCAAGAATTCTCCAGATGTTTTCATTGACTTGAGGTCTTGGGAATATACTGGCCAATCCAGAACTTCAATGTTGTAGTTCTGGAACCACTTGGTGTTTACTGCAACTAGATTTAGATGATTGTAGTGTCTTGATGCAATGAAAAGGGAATGTGCTGGTGTTGTCAAAGAAATGGCAAGAGATGATCTACAAGCATTGATTAATAACTTGAGTCATTCATTCTTGATAAAACAAATGCTGAAAATAATTTACCTGCAGAGCTAAGTGCCCTCAAACCATCCATAGTACTTAGGTCTCCAAACCATCATACTACTAACTTTAACTATCTGGATGGCTTAAATGATTTAAGAAAATAACCTCAATGTTTTTCTAAGTTAATTTTGTGAAGATATTGTGATTGTTTGAAGGTATTTAGCATTGCAGGAAAATTAGCTTTGTCTTTTGTTTAGAATCTAAGATGGCTCACATTAATATTTTTTGCAGCTTGTATCACATAAAATATGAATGAAATGTATCAGTTTCCAAGCTTAAGGAAGTATGCAACAAAAATTCAAATGTTATTTTCTACAACTTATGTATGTGAATAGTTTTTCCTCAATGAATTTAGTAAAAATTAAAACAAGAAACCGGCTAACAGACACATTGAAACTAATTTAAAACTAGTGGTGACTAATATTTAACCAAATATTTCCGATATATTATGTTTACATCAGTTCCAGAAGCTAAATTAAGAATACCTATGCTAATTTATAATTATACATGAATAAATAATTGTGATTTACCAGCATTTTTTTCCCTCTTTTCTCTTGTATATGGCCTGCGTCAGTTCAAAAGTTTTGAAATGAGGCCCTTGCATAGAGAAAGGTTGCCCATCCCTGATTTAGATAAACACATTTTGCCATAAATACATGTCCCAAACATAATAAAATGCACTCATGCCAAAAAAAGCAAAAGCACAATAATTTGGTCTATACCTTAGGAACTAGAACTATATAAAACTTATATAATAAAACAGTATAAAACTTAACAAACAAAATATTTGTTTTTTATTCAACAAAAGTGAAAATTTAATCTAATTTACAACAAACCAAAAAACAATAAGAAAAAATACTATGTATTATCAGAAATCTTTTTGCACTGAAAATTATTAATATGTTGTGTGATTGTATATATGCTGCACAGCAATTGCTAATGCTGATTCTATTGTCGTTTATTATTTCTGTAAGGAGAAAGGTCATTCGTGAACAAAAGCATCTTGAAGTTCCTGGAGTGTTATTGAGTCATATCCTGTGAGTCTCCACCATATCCTTAGAGCATCCCACACATTCATTGGGATTTAGATCTGGAGATCTTGCTTGCCATTCCATATGGTGATGGATAATGTAAGGACTAATAGGGCTTGAGCCCAGGACCCTCAGCTTTTAGGGGGTCCAAGGTACATTGTAAAGTATTTAATTCTTAAGTAAGCAATGGAACATAAAAGTGTAAAACAATACCAATTTAGAAAATTCTTGTTAAAAAATAATTGTAAATTGATCAGTGGTTAGCACATAACTTTATTACACCTACATATCTGAATTAGCTTCATAGAAAGGCCTAAAATTTTAAAAATGTGCAATGTGTTAAACACATTTAATTACAATCTATTTTATGATGGGCTTTTTATAATTTTTTAATTTTTTCAGGGATGTCAGTTAGTATGATCTTTGGAAAATTGGAAAGCGCTCGTCAATTTAGTGACATAGGTGTCTAATTTAACGCTTATATGTTAAAAGTTTTTGTAGTATGATCTTCTTTGGCCAAAACTGCTTAATGGTTAGACACAAGCTACAAGGAATAAAATTTCTAAGCCCATGATTCCCAGAAAGTTATATCTGCCCTGATTCCATGTGCCAAATATCTTTGCTGTCAAGGAAGTTATTGACAAGTACAGTCCTATGTGCATGAGCAGTAATGAAATATGCATCCATAACACCTTGGTAAAGTCTTATATGAGGTTCTGAAAGCTTGTCGTCGTACTTTCTTGTAGTAATGGTAACATTAATGGAATATTTAACTATGTTCTGGATATTTTTATTGTCTGGAATGTTCACATAATTTTTGTTGTTGTATATTTGTTTATTTTTTGCTCTGATTGGATAATAATTCTTATTTTTTGGATATGAGAATATATTTCTCTAGTCCTTTTTTGACTTTCTTTTCTTTATATATAACTCTGCTAATCCAAATCTTTTACTAATCTGAAGAAACCTAAGCAATAATTACCTCAATCACAAGAGTGCAATATATTGTAAATAAATGTTCAAATTATTAAAAATATTTTTAGATAGTGTTACAAAATTTAATAATAATTATATTAAAAAATTGTATTTAAGGATTAAATATAAAAATAATTAAATTAATTATTTTATCTAAAATATCCAGAGAAAACATTTTGAAGTAAAATTCTGATCTAAATGAAATCTCTTCTCTTCTTCTCTTTTTAGATTTTTATCAATAATGAGTGGAGAAATTCTCTGAGTGGAAAAGTTTTTCCAACAGTCAATCCAAGTACAGGTGAAAAGATATGTGATGTTCAAGAAGGTGATAAGGTATACTTTTCAAATATTTTGATATTTAATTACGATATGCATATGTTTGTAAATTCTGATACTTCTCAGAATTCTTTAGTTTTAATCTAATATAATATTTTTTCTCTTAAATAAAATTCGTTGTTGAAATAATTTAAAATGTAATACAATGCAATATATTAATTTAAACTTTTTTATCTTAAAATATTACAGTGGGGAAAAAATTGTACAAATTACACTATACATATTATCTGTAGTATAATTATTTTAGATGGAAAATACATTTACTCTAAGAAAACATTAATAATTGATTTTTAAATTGTATTAATATAGAACATTTTTCTAATGAAAAAACAAAATAAAATTTAAATACAGGTCTTCCAAAAAGAATACTACAATTTTAAATTACTGTAATTATGTTAATTATTACCTAAGAAGTATGAGATTACAACAATCAATAGAGTAAATATATGAGTTTCATCTACCATCCACATAGAAGCATCTTTTTCTATCTACTGCCTCTAGGAAGTGCCATAAACAAAAATAGTGACACTTTAACAGTTGTTTTCAATCTGTGGTCCATGGAACACTGATGCTCCATGCAGCCACTTCAAGTGTTCTGCAAAAAATCCAAATATACAATTAATTAAAAATTGTTGCAAAAGAAAAATCGATACAATGTAAAATAATTTTTGAATGGGAATGTAATCAGCAAATGCCAATGACATGACATCATATACTAGACCTAGTGTGCTGTTGATTTCAAAAATTTTTTCCACCCCTGCTTTAAAACTGATGTATTTTAAGTGTTCTGTGGAAAAAAATATCAAAGTTTAGTGTTCCCCAATTTCAAAAGATTGAGAACCTTGGCTTTAACAGAGAAGACATTTTGTGTTCTGTAGTCCACAAAGTCAAAATCAGTCATTATGCAATGAGGATATTTGTCTTACATCATAGATAACTTTGAAATTGTCTGCAAAATTAAAAAAAATCATTAAAGCCTTCTTCACAATGATGACTGATTATGACTTTGTGGGCTACAGAACACAAAATGTCTTCTCTGTTGTATAATCACCATTTTTGTTTATGGCACTTTCTACAGACAGCAGACCAAAAAAAAGGACATTTTGTATGAAGATGAAACTTAGATATTTACTCTATTGACCAATGTACTGTACAGTACATCTTGTGCTTCTAGAGTAATTATCATAATTATGGTAATTTAAAATGGTAGCATCCTTTTTGGAAGATCCTATATGATTAAAATAAATTCCAGAATTCATTAAATAAACTGTATAATGCAAGTTAAAAAAAATACCTGTTATATAACTATAAATTATTAAATTTGGATAATTTTCATTTATGTATTAAATGAGTGTCAAAAGTTTTGAGCATCCTTTGTATATTAATAGTGTAAATTTTAGGTTATAAAACATACCTAGTAGAATATATTTAAAGATTTATTTCTTTAATTTTTATTAAAACTATAGACTTTGATTTGTTAATAAGTTGTTGTTACATGATTAAAATTTTTATAAGAACATATGTATTTTAGGGAGATATCGATCTTGCTGTGAAAGCTGCTAGGGAAGCTTTTAAGTTGAATTCACCATGGAGAACTTTGGATGCTTCAAAAAGAGGTCTTCTTCTAAATAAGTTTGCAGACTTGTTAGAGAGAGACATTGAATATTTGACTGTAAGTTTTTAAAACTGTAAATAACTTTTTTGTTTAAACTTTTATTTTAAGATCAATAATATTTTTAGAGTTTAGAAACTTTGGATAATGGCAAACCTTATAAGTGTGCTTATGGAGATATTTTGTTCAGTATTAACGTTATACGTTACTATGCCGGTTGTAGTGATAAGGTTCACGGAAAAACAATTCCTGCTGGTATTTCATCATTTTTGAAAAGTCTTTTTTAATGTTACAATATTTACAAATGATTAAATTTGTTTACATAATTTTTTTTTCCTCAGATGGTGATGTAGTTTCTTTTACTCGACTTGAGCCAATGGGTGTATGTGGTTGTATCATTCCTGTAAGTTTATATTAAAAATTTCTCTAAGCAAAATAGTTTGTTTGACTTCTTTTTAAATTTAAAATATTGTACTTATAAAGTATTACAGCTTCTTAATTTTTTTTAATTTAGTGGAATTATCCAATATTGCTCTTCAGTCAGAAAGTTGGACCAGCTTTAGCAGCAGGAAATACAGTTGTTATAAAACCTGCCGAACAAACTCCATTAACTGCTCTGTATTGTGCTAGTCTGTTAAAAGAAGCAGGTGTTCCTCCAGGTGTTGTTAACGTTGTACCTGGATATGGTCCCACTGCTGGAGCCGCACTATGTTATAACATAGATGTTGACAAAATTGCATTTACTGGATCAACAGAAGTAGTTTTTTAATAATATATATTTTTTAAATTTGAATTATATGTGAAGAATTATATAAATTTTTAATCTGGAATGATATATATATATATTAGGTTGGCCACTTGATACAACAGGCAGCTGGTGCTACAAATATAAAACGCGTTACATTAGAGATGGGTGGAAAGAGTCCTTTGGTAATATTTGCTGATGCTGATTGTAAGTTTTTAATAATTTGTATAGATTAAATCATAATAAAAAAAAGATTTTTCTAAAACAAGTTTTCTTTTATAGTGGATGAAGCAGTTAGATTGGCGCACGAAATGGTGTTTGTTAATCAAGGTCAATGCTGTTGTGCAGCTACAAGAACATATGTTCAAGAAGAAATTTATGACGAGTTTGTGAAACGTAGCACAGAATTGGCACTGAAACGTTCTGTTGGTGATCCATTTGATGATAACACTGAGCAAGGACCTCAAGTAAGATACAAAAATGATACTATATATCATTAATATCATCATCATCACAATCCTGTAACAGTCTAATTATGATTTTTGTATGTTTATAAAACTTAGGAATATCAAATTTGAGTTAGAAATTTATAGTTAGGGAACTAAAAATATAGGATATTAGAATTCTATAGTAGTATTAGTTACTAATTCCTAGAAGTTACTATTATTATTGGCGATTCTAATATGCCACTTGCTATCAAAATATTATATTTTATAATCTTAATTTCCTGTGTACAGAAAAGATTATTTTAATGTATATATAAAAATCTTAGTATTTATTAAACACAATAATGAAAAAAAAATGTTTTTGATAATTTCCAATTAAATCACATGCTGTTCAGCATTATTGTAATTCTTGCTGTTTCCATATTGAAATAATTCAAACATTTTAAATTCTTTTTATTCCAGATTGATGAAATTCAATATAAAAAGATTTTGGATCTGATCAAATCTGGCCAAAATGAAGGAGCAAAGTTGAATTGTGGCGGAGAATGTTTAGGAAGCAAAGGATACTTTATCAAACCGACCGTCTTTTCTAATGTTTCTGACAATATGAGAATAGCAAAGGAAGAAATTTTTGGTCCTGTTCAACAGATATTAAAATTCAAAACTCTGGAAGAGGCTCTCACCAGAGCTAATGATACCACTTATGGATTAGCAGCTGGAGTATTGACAAAAAATATTGACACAGCTATGACATTTGCTCAAGGTGTTCAAGCTGGAAGTGTCTGGTCAGTTATTTATGATTTGAATTCTTAATATATGTATTGATTTAGTATTTTTCCATTTTAAAAACATATATCAGAAACTGGAGATTATCCAGAACAAATTTATTCGAAGATTGTTTTGCTTGGAATATAAAATTCCGGGGAGTGCTTTAAGGTTAGAAGTAAGCAGATACAGTCCCACTGCATTATTTATCAAGAGAACTATGATGCTGTTAATGAAGATAAGAGATAGTGGAAATATTTCATTCAATCTGCTACAACAGTTATATAAGTATTCTGTACAGAATTCTAAAAGGAATTGGATAGCTCAAATTTCAAGAGTGATCAATAGTTATGGTTTCTCAATTGCTCCATTTATCTTTTCGCTGAATCTAAGTGAAGATTTGTGTAGTCAGCTAACGCATAGCATTTTAGATATTCTATTATCACGTGACATAGAAGACAACCGTTCACGTTTAAAACCAAACTGGTATGGTTCACTATTGAACTATCCAAATATTAATAATTATATTCTATCGAATCTACCTTTTGTTATAAAACGGTTTTTTATTCAAATACGTCTAAATTCAGAAATATTAATGTTAAATAATAAATTCTACTCGTATGCTGATAATTTATGTCCTAGATGTAATATGGAATTTTCAAAGTATCACTTGTTTTGCCAATGTGAAAAGAGCTATGAGTTAAAAAGGAAATTTGATTTGTTAAGTTTAAGTGAGTGCAGATCGGTGGAAGAAATGTACTACATTTTCCATAGAGCAACAACTCGATTAATAGTTAATTTATACAACTATGTTAAAACTTTTGTAAATAATTAGAAAGAAAATATTATTGTAATAATACTATGTAATATGTTATATTATTTAAGTTTATGGTTCTCCCATTGTAACAGGCAATTGCCGTATTACAAATAAAGCGTAATTTTGATTGGATTTTAAAAACATAAAATAGTAGTACTAAATATTGCTGGTTCAATGTTCTTCTATTAGAATTTGCTTGATTGTTTGAAATACAATAATTTATAGTGAATTACAACAGCAACTGAGTGCAGAATTTAGAACTGGTTCTGTAGAATTACTATAATGCACACTAGAATTTATTGAGATGTTCCAGATTTGTGGATTACAGATTTCTAATAACATTTAAACATTTAAATTTAAAATTTGTACATAAATTTTAAAATTATATATTATTATCCCATCAGATTTTAGATTTCATGTGATTTTTAAAACTTAGCCTTTAAATTGAAGATATCCATATATTGTTGTCAGGTTTTTTCTTCTAAATTTTCTGTAAAGTCAATTAGTATATTATTAAATAAACTCAGTTATTCTACAAAGATTTTTAAAATATCTTTTTTACTTTTCAGGGTAAATTGCTATCTTCATGCAACACCACAAACACCATTTGGAGGATTTAAGATGTCTGGTATTGGACGAGAAATGTAAGAACTTTTAAAATTATTATTTGAATCAGTATTAAGAAAATTTATATCCAATTATTTTTAAGTAACTGAAACTTTTAGTTCATTGTCCAATCATTAAATTCAATGAGTTGCATTTATTTATATAAAATGTATTGGGGCAGATGTCTAAAGATTTTATAATGCTTGAATCTATATCATGCTAATAAGCATTTATATTTGTCCTCAGTGAGTTGAATTTTTCTTCAATGCTCATTGATACAGGCATTTTCAAATCAATACTTAGTGATCCTGGTATAGATAAGATGTGATGCACTTATCACATCATCACCTTTTTCTTACACTGAAAATTATTAAATTAGTTTACTGTTCTTACAAGCCAAGCTTAATGTAATTGAAGAATTTCTTTTAATATAAATTTTCCATTTAATGAATTTTATTTTGTGAACTGTTGTCATTAAATATTTAAATTTTTAGAATAAATATTTTTTGTTTTTAAAGGGGATTTGACAGCATGATGGAATATCTGGAAACCAAAACTGCAAGTTAAATTTTTTTTCTCCTTACGTTCTCATTTTCTTTCATTTTGTATACTTACTCCTCCCCTCATTTTTATTTTAGGTGACTATCAAAATACCAAAGAAGAATTCTTAAAATGTTGTGTTCTGAAATAAATCTTTGATATTTTTTTTGGAAAAATACTAAATATTCAAATTTTGAATAAAATAAATATTTTCATTTAAAGCAAGTATCTCTTTTTGAGCATTTTTATTTTATTTAGTTTTACAAATAAATGGAAAAGTTCCAAAGGGTGATATCTACCCCCAAAATTAACAAATATACATTAAAAAAACAAAGACAACAAATACACAATGCATTTTTACATTTTAATTTAAAACAAGATTAAATAATTTTGTTTTATTTTTCTTTTTTCAAGATACACTCAAACAAAAAAATTGGAGTGAACACACAAGGCTGTAGGTTTTTGGTGAAATACATAAAATGGTGGTGTAGATATTTAAAGTAAGCATTCAAAAAACAAAGAAAAAGTTAAAATCCTAGCTTTGCTAGTATTATATTGAGTATATATGGTAAGTTATATAATTTATTAAAAGACAGATAGATAAATTTTATCAACACCCATAGAATAAATGAGTAATCCATAATCATTTTACAAAATTTAAAATAATATTATTACACATTTATCATTTTAACAAGATAATTTTTAGGAATAGAAAATATTATTTTTTGTTTAAGTTTTCTTAAATTATAATTTTTATCATTTTGCAACATTGAAATCACCATATTAAAATGTGAAAATCATTTATGAAACCATAAACTTATACATTGCAAAATTGTACATACAATTGTTTTGAAATATGTTTGTTAATCATGAATAGGAAATTAAACTTGTATGTTAACCTTTCTGTTAAATAAAAAAACTTATGTAAATTGAAATTTTTTTTTTACTCAAAATGAAAATTATGTGAAGTGAAAATCTGATATTTTTAAAATTGATTCTATATTTATAAATGTATGAAGAAAGTCTCATTTTAATGGATTGTCATTACATTCAACTTATAATACATAATATCTAAATCTAATGTGTGTAGTTCTGTGTATGAAGTATCAAAACAAGATTTGCTTCAACAGTAATCTCAAATGTTTAAGAATCTTGTATTATGAATATATCTAATCTTAAGTACTAAAATCATACATCATCATATATGTTTCATATAATATACTAGTCAACATAAATTAGTTAAGTTGTCAAATATATTTAGTAATGCTTCTTTCATAAAATTATTTGTGTAATTCATTTACTACATATATTTTATTAAGTTTCATAATTTTTTGTAAAATAATCTATGGACTGTGTTTTTAAAGTGAATATGGGTTATCTGTTGATCTTGAATTATAATTAAGGAAAAGCTGTTGGGTAAGCTCTTTGTCAAAACTTACTGAGAATGGTATTAAAAAGTGTGGAGAATACTTTAAATGCTACAAATATTCATGTCATGACAATTTTTATAGAAATCTCCATAGAAATATGCCTCACCTTTAGTTCTCCCATTTTCTGTGTCAATCCACACATTGTAATTGACATTAAACATCCTAGTTATATAATAGTTAAACTCAAAAATCTTAGAAAAAGATTTTAACACTCATCTTTTGTTGGATAGATTATAAAACTATTCAAATCATTTTGGAAAAATGTCTAGCCTGTTTGACTGAGAATAAATTTAACATTTGTTTAAATAGCCCATATTTGTAATGTCCACTTTAAATTAACAACACCAAAACATCTTTATTCTGTCTAGTTTTGTTGCTTTCTTGGTGTTATCTGAAATGCTTTATTTAATAAACATGTTGCAGTTTCATTAAAGGGATGATGCAGCAATTAAGATGACAGTGCATTAACCAGGATGTTATTCTTTTCTGATATTTAAAATTAAATGATTCACTGCATTAAATAAATATCAATTTTAAATATTTAAACTCAAGAAAGGTTTTGCACTTCAAACCATGGAAATGTCTGCAAGTAATTTCATGAGATAAAAGCTATTCACTTTGGTAATATCTTTCAGATATAATATGAAACTATTACAGCACTTTTGGTTGTTCTTCAGGTCACAATTCTATAGCCATGATGCAGGACACCGTGATTTGGCATCATTCTGTGGATATGATAGTTTCAATGTAGACTTTTGTCTTTATCAATTTTCATTACTACTACCCTAACAATTCCTCCACTCCACTGAGGATGAGATTGACTAACTCTAACATGATCATATACTTTTAAATCTTGTGTACTTTAACAGGTACATTCAGCATAATATTGTCTTTTTTAAATGTTTAATGGAGGGTTCTGAATATCTGACTCAATGAATCTGTAGCAATAATAAGCAAAAGCATTTTCATAGGTCTTTCAAAAGAACACTTAGCTGGTGAGAGCAGATCAGGGTGTGGAGTGTTGCATATAAGCAATAGTGGTATGTATACATCCTGAATAGTCTGCTTTACACTCTGGACATATCTCTTAACTAATTTGTTAAACTGCAGATATACTGAGCTCAAAGTTTTATGACAGAATTCCTATGTTTTAACAAAAAAATAAGCAAAATAATAATGAACTGTACTGTTATCCATTGTTGGCTGAGTTTGTCAGGGATGTGAATAGTAGTAAACCAGTGGTTTTTGTTGATGTACCCTATTAGCCCATTAGTTACCCTATTAGCCCTCAAGTACCCCTTATATTTTTGTACGTAAATTTTATAATTACTGCACTAGATGTATACAGCCCTTATAACTGAGCGCCATAAAAAAAACTCTAACTAACTATAACTAAAAGTGAATTACTTATTTTACATAAATAAATGTATGTATCTGATTAAATTTATTATTAATTGATAAGTATATTATATAAAATCACAGAAGTCATTTCAATACATGCATAAATTACATTTCCTAAAAATAAATAATTATAATTAACAATAAAGAAAATTTAAATTATTCTACAATAATTTCTAACAAAATTTAATGGAATATTTGTTGTGATAAGAAATCTTCAGCAATTTTTTCAAAATTTGGTTCCCACGTTGTTAAATAGAGATTATAATTGTGTAGTGACTTTGAAAGTAATGGCTGAGAATTTATAACGTGCAGAACAATGCATGAATCTCAATTTTTGTATAAAACATAATGTCTAAATTTGCTAAATATCAAGTAATGCGTGCATGCAGTGACACGCATTGCATGGCGGGGTACAATCTAAGCCTCGTTATTCCTAATACCAGTAGTCCAGTAAAAACATGAAAAGCCCCAATCTTATCAAGCAATAATTATAGAATAAAAAAATGAAATTTTTTTTTATTCTAAAATTAATGCTCGGTTAAACCATAATTTTACTAGAGTACAGGTTCACTCTGCACTAACGGCACAAATAGACAGGCAAATCAAGCGGATAAATAGACTGTTAAAAGGGAAATCAGTGTTCACACTGGGATATTTTAAAGCAAGTTTTTGTCGTTTCTTGTTTCTTGTGTTAATAATTTACAGCAAATTGATTAACATATGCCATTTTATAATGAAAGTTAGATGTACCCCTTCAATTTATGCTCTACCCCCAGTTGAGAACCATTGTAGTAAATTATCATTATAGGCTATCAGTAGTATCTGTCAGGACTAGGAAAGCAAACAAACCTGAACAGTATTTACAATTAAAAAAAAGTAGACAACCTTACAGTTTGAACAGATTCCTTGTTTCAATTTACCACAGTCAATCTGGGACTTAGAGAGCCAATTAAATTAAATTATTGACATCATGCTGATGAATTTCTCATTGTACAATATTGCTCAATGTAACCAATAATGTCTTCTGTTATATTTGGCCAGAAGACTGCTTCTCTAATGTAATTCAGATTGCTTTCTATTCCCAGACAAAACCTTGATGTATTCATTGCAATTATTATATGAGACAGTCATGACTGGTTGGTCATTCTTTACATCAATGCTGCCACAATATGACAATTTTGTCTTTACAAGTCAAGAACTTTTTCAATATTTCTGCATCTGAAACTCAATCTTGTAACTGTTATATCCTATCCTATCCGTTTAGAAATGTCCAACTCTTGGTCACTCACTGTATAGATTAAAGCCATCCATGCCTCTCTATCCTGCACAGCCTCCTTCAATTCTGTTATAGATAATTCAGTGTCACTTTTGGTTGTGTCAAGCCATTGAGTCCTTGGTTGGCCTTGCGCTCTTTTCCCGCTAACCATCCCCAGCATGACTGCCTTCTCAAGGAAGCTGGTTCTCATTATATGACCAAAAAAGGACAATTTCTGTTTGGTTATCTGGGATTCCAGTGAGATTTTCGGGTGAGCTCTGTCTAAGACAGTTTTGTTGGTGATCTGTCCTGTCCATGGAATGTGCAAAAGCTGTCTCCAACACTACAGTTCAAAAATATCTATCTTCTTTCTGTCTGCTTTCTTTATAGTCCATGTTTCACAGCCATATATGACCATAGGAAAAGCAATTGCACTAACTAATCTGCATTTAATTTGGAGGCAGATGTCTTTGCTCTTCCAAAAGCTGTTCATGCTGATCATTGAGGTTTATCCAAGGGCTGTGTGTCTTCTGATTTCAGGACTGCAATTACCATTACAGTTGATTTTGGACCCAAGGAATATGAAATCTTCCACTACCTTGATTTCTTCACCATTGATTGCTATTTTGACTTCCATATTCTGTGCAGTAGTCATTATTTTGGTCTTCTTGAAATTAAAAAGCAGCCCTACCTTTGCACTTTCGTGCTTAACTCCAAAAGCAGCAGCTCTAGATCAATGGTTGCCAACCGGTGGTCCGTGAGAAAATTTGGGTGGTCCATGGAGAAATTTGAACATTGATCAACCGAAGATTATGTGAGGTATTACGAAAGAAATGCAAAATGGTTAGTTGCTTTTTTCACTTATTGGGGTTTTTATTCGAATCTAAAACCAAAAACAAAGTGACTGTTATCAATAAATAATGAACAATAAACAATATTGTGAGTGCAATTGTCATCCTTCGTGGAAAAGTGCAAAGAATCCATAAACTTTTTTCAAACAAGCAGCAATGAACTTTAGGCTTGCATTAATTTGTTATAATTAAACATGTGAGTTTCATATTAATGTAGTAAAATTGAACTTTTATTATCATTATTCTACAGATTTTGTATCATTTAAAAAATATTCATGATAATGGTCTGCAGGATTCAAAGCTGTGACTTTAATGGTCCACGAGGTGAGAAAGGTTGCCGACCACTGCTCTAGATCATCCTGACTTTCCGCGAGCAGCGTGGTATCACCGACATATCGGAGATTATTGATGTTCCTGCCTCCAATTTTTACCCCAATGTTAGACTCATTCAAATCTGCTTTCCTCATTGCCACCTCTATGTGCAGTACAGATTGAATAGTGATGGTAAAAGGATACAGCCCTAGAGGGTACTCCTTCTGATCTTGAACCAGTCTGTATCACCATATGGCATTTTTACAGTGGCTTCTTGTCCAGTATATAATGATCGTGAGATGCAGTGAGATTCCCATTTCCTTGAGGCACTTCCACAACTTGTCATGATCAATACAATCGAAAGCCTTTGAGCAATCAATGAAGCAAATGTATAGATCTTTTTGGTATTCCCTTTCTGTTTCCATCATTCAACAAAGATTAGTGACATGATCATACCTGTTATATAAGCAATTGTAATTCTTCATTTACTATGGCATTCTTCAGTTTGTCTAAGGTTATCTGACATAAACACTGGATGATTGTCTTGAAAGGAATGAATGATAATCTGCTAAAGTTCATTGCTTGAAAGGAATAAATGATAAGCTGTTCACAGTCAGAACTGAGTACATCTGGTATAGGGAAATTTCTGTCTGCAGCTTATGGCTAGATATCAAGCAAGGCTTTTGTCATGGTCAGAACTGTCAGTAATGATTTCTTGCTTATAACTTCTAACAGCTTATAATCAATAAGTACAGTTATATCTTTGCTGTAAATATATTTATGAATTATGACCATAATTAATAGAAAAAAAAGTAAATGCTTTCTGTGAATAATTTTCTGTATTGCAGTGAGAGTTTGTATTACATATATAGCAGATTCCTATTCTGCAGTAAAAGTGACCCTATAGTTATTAACAGTTGCATGCAGATGAGGAGGGTCACCTTGTTACCACAGCTCATATTTTTGTTTATATTATAGACAAATATTAATTTTGGAATTTGAAGTTTTTTTTACTTTTATCTCCTATGGTTTGTGAATACTTTGAGGTATATTTGACAAAAATTCAGTAATTATTGTATAATGGTTCCTATAAAAAAAAATCTGATGCTTTGCAATGGATTGTTGCTCCCATGTGAATATTATATTATTTTAATTTGAGGAATTGTAATCCTGACTATAGTAGTAACTATAAAGTGTATTTATTAAGTGAGAAGCTGGAGATTATTCATTATTATAATTCAACCAAAGCAGGTGTTGATACACTTGACTAATGTATTAGAATATATAGCTGTTGGCATGGGACAAGAAGATGGCCAATAGCTGTTTTTTTTAATTTGATCGATGTAGTCACTTATAATTCATATGTGCTTTATTGTGAGGCAAACAAAACTTGGGCCAAGTTTTGTTTGCCTAAAATGCCTAAAATGTGAATCAGGTCAAAAAGTTTTTTGAAGAGTCTAGGTGAATTATTATGGCAGATCAGCATGAAATACAGAACTGAATATTCCAAAGGTTTACATAGCAGTTCAGTATCAGAACTAAAAGTATTTGGCTTTGAATGCAATCAAGTGGAAGCAATTTCAAGAGGGACAGTTCAAACAGAACCAAAAGGAAGAGCAACAAGGAATGCTTCTAAAAGTATTCCTAAAAAAGGGAGATGCTTTCTATGTCCAAGATCAAAAGACAGAAAATATATGAAATCTTGTACAAAGTGAGTGAAATACATTTGCCCTGGACATATGTCGAAAGAGGAATGCTGTATTGTTAGAACATGTACTGAGTGCAATTCATTTAAATTTATAATAATTATTTTTAACAATAAAAACTGTTTTGAGTTCTAAAAGTTGAGTTATTTTAAAAATCCAAAGTTATAGAAACAAACATATCAATAAAAAATATATCAGCTTGGTGTCAACTTCAACCCTACTCATCCACAATGCATACATTTTATTTAGAGTTGGAGTTACTTACTAACCCCCCTCATCTGGGCTTTCATGGTACACTTTTAGCATCCGGATGCAACTGTTAAACTGGCATCAACTGACTATTACCAGAGCATTTATATCATATAGGTGCTGACTTTCAGAATGCTTTAATCTTCTGCACTTCTTTATGTTCATTATTAGATCAGTATCATTCAACATCCTTAAACAAGATGGTAAAAGCAATGATATTAACTTTGAATGTTTAGATACAAATCTGGCCAATTAGTTCATCATCCTGAGAATCTTTGTAAGAATTTCACAACTGTAGGCTTTTTCATCTGGTTAATAGCCCATACTTTTAAATCATAAAATTTTAATTAAGTGTAATAATATGACCCAAGAACTATACTTACTATAAACAGAACTAAATAGGTCCCATATTGTAAACTGTTGAGAAATGAAATTGCTTTTACTGGAAGCTACAATTTATTAATAAACAATAGACTGAAAACATTTATCTCAGGCCAACATCAGCATATATATGTTACAAATGTTTGAAAACCAGGACATTGATTATAAACTTATTACAAATTAAACAATAATATTTTATAGTTTAAATATTTTGACCAAAATTTCACTAAAAAAACTACATTTCTGAGAGAATACATTCATTTAGAATGTATTGTCTCAGAAATTTAGTTTCTTTTAGGTAAGGTAAGTGGTTTCTGTTTACCTATGAAAATATGTTTCTTTACCAAAAACTTTGGATTTGCTGAGTATATGAGGCATATGACAGTGTGAGCTATATAATCATATATTCTGTAACCTTCAGTTACCTGTTGAATGTATTTCTAATTTAGTCTGTAATTTTGAATTACTTAAACACTTAGAAGTCTTCGTTTTAGTATCTTGTTGTAATGATATATGCTCTTGTATCATATGATTATCTTACTAAAATAGAATTCTATGTTTATTGTTAGCATTTAATTTACTTTCATATGTAATAGGATCTATTACATATGAACGTATTTGTGTTGCAATGATATATGCAGGATATTTGTTTACTTTAAAGAAATTGTGCATTTTTATTTTATTAATTAATTATATTATTAGGAACAAAATAATGTAAACTAGTATTTAATATGAAGACAGACACAGACACTATGTAGACTTAATCATATAATACCAAACAAATTTTTAGATGTTAGAGTAGAAATAAGATAATAAAATTAGTAAAATTCAGGAAATTTTGTTGATTTTAATTTTAAGCACCTTCAATAGTAGTTAATGAATAAATAATTTGAACAGTGTGAAAAATATGCATAATGATAGGCTTGAATTTTTCAATTATTCATGCATAAATAAATTAGATGATAAAAATTTTGAGAAAAAAGAATAAATGATTAAATTAAGTAAAAGTATAAAATTCAAGATTTATTTTTGATTACAAAAGCTGACTAATAACTTAAATTCTTATAATTTATATTGCAATGATCTTTTTCATAGTTTCTTTGATAAAGACTAACCTAGATCTTGCATTTTACATAATGCATGATGAAGAAATATAGAAAAACTGTTAACTGTGTGAATTTTGGAATAATAGTGCATCATTTACATTTTAGATAAATGTAAAAGATGCTGTTGTTTGGTTCATAATAGTTTAAACTCATGACCTTATTTTTAGTCTCCTTTCCAAATTAATTTGCTGACTCCTCCTTACATTGATATAAAATAAGAATAAATTATAAACACTAAAACATAAAAATCAAATAAGAATTAATATAATTTTTTTATATATTAATGAAAATTCAACAGTGTGTGTTTTACTTTACTAAAGTTTTTTTTTTTACAGCTGTATCAATTATTATCATATATTTTAAGAATAATAATAAATAAATTTATCAACTGATCAAATGGATTCACTAGTAATCAGATTGGAAACTACTTGGTTTAAACTACATTCTTTTAACAAAAGAGAGAACTGAAGAAAAAATTTCAATGAAAACACTTTATAGAAATTAATGCAAGTGAAAAAAGTAAACAAAAAATAAATTAAGTCCTACTTTGAGTGCTTTCATGTATTGCATCATCATCAGGAAGAAGGTTTCCACTAGATATGGTTGCCAAGAAATTGATCATCATTACTTGAGATTACAAAATCTCAAAATTAATGCATAATATAAATAAGAAAAAACTAAATAAAAATGGCATATAATTTTTTAAAATATTAATTTTTAACCCTGAAAAGTGTATAAATAATTCACATTTCCAGAAGAAATCAGAAGAGGTTTTTCTTTTTTTTACAAATTAGCCATTTCTGCTAAAGACAATCTGATTCTGTAGTTAATAACATGATTGTACTGACCCTTTCCAAACATCAAAACTGATTCTGCTATTAGATGATTGTTATTTTGTCTCAGAGATTCTAAGATTTGGATTTTGTTACATATAATTCTATGTTACTATCACGATTTGTTTGGTTATGCAATACTATGGATGTACAAATAGTACACCCATAACCAAACAAACCTGCTCTGATGTCACCTATATGCTTCTTGATATTTTCTGACCAATGTTTCTTTGTGTAACTCCTATATATTCTATTTCTTTGTCATTACTTTTGCCTCTGATAGAGATTTTATACACTACTTTTTTTTAGTTAAAGTCCAAGTAATATTTGTTTTTGCTTAGTATTTCAAAGATGGAGGGATTTTTCATAAATACTATATATGTTTATAGACTCTTCCATAGAAAATGAGTAGGGATGAAATTACAATAGTGTAAGTTGAGAGGTTTAGGATTCAATTGATTATTATATTGTATAACCATGTGAGTTGTTCAAAAGAACTTTTATTTCAAACAATGGATTGTACAAAAGTAAATATGAGTTTGAATTCAATGTATTCATTTGAAATAACTCAAATGTTTTCCAAATGGTAAAAAGTGAATTAATCACAATCAACAAAAGATTCTGATGATTTGATTAGACATTTTTCTGTTATAACTGACAGGATGACATCCTTATTTAACAAAAGATACTTAAAACTACTGCCCTTTTCCCAAGAAAATAAGTTGGCAATTTTAGTGATTTCAGCAAGACAATACTTGTCGAAACATTTGCAACAATATATGAATGGTTTTTATCTAATTTTGTTGAAATTCTTGATTGATCATTTCATTTCAGAGATTTTAGTCCATGAAAGAGCATTTAAAGTGCACTGAGAAAATCATATAAGCAAGAGGATGTCAACTTCATAACATGATCAACAAAAAATGAGAATAGTTTGACTAATTAATACTGATAACCCTACTAGAAAATTTGTTATTCTAAATACATAAAGTATTTTTATAAAAAATAATATTTATTGACTACTAATACTACATGATTTCATCATTTCCTCCATCTATTTTTATGTTTTCTAATTTATCTATTCATACCTTTATTATGGTATTATAAATTATAAAATAAAGTGAAAAATAAAATCTGGAATGATTTATACAACTTTTTACAAGGTATGTCATCCTTAAAAATGGAACAATCATTATTTTCCTAGCATATTTATTGAAAAAGCATCCTAAAAGCATCAGATAATTTATTCATATAAAACTATTATTAGCAGATATCGCAAACTTTTGAAATATCAGTTTCCTATATAACTTAACCTCTGTAGAATAAAATATGTAAATAACTGATGTCACTTTTTTAATACATGGGGGATAAATATCTCTCTAAGCAAAACTTACAGTATGTTATAGTTATTTATTAAATACCTTATCCAGCATTAAATAATTTATATGGATACTAACTTGATGGAAATATTATTAAAAATGGCAATGTTAGCAATATTCCTGTATTTAAAATTTGTATAAGATAAAAAAAAATTTGAAATTTGTTTATTTTCAAAATTTGTATTTGAATACACAAATACTTTTCTTGAATACAATAAAATAAAAACAGTTAAATTACTGACTATCACTTGAAGAACTGCTAGACGAATCTGTTGACATAACTTCTACATCTTCATTTTCTTTGTTGTGTCCTTTTGTATCCATGGTAACAGAATTATGATTTGAAGCTGCTCCTATATTTGCTTTAATATCATTGGGAGGCTGCCAGGCAAAAGTTCCTGCCTGAGTTGATGATGTCTGTTCTTTAAAGTAATGAAGAAAGAAAATTATTATTATAACAACTGAGTTTAATATATTTTATGTGAATGACAGAAAAAATTTCATATGGAAATATAAAGACAAGGACAGAATTCTAACATTAGATAGATGAAAACAATGTTTGTGATTAATAAACATCTTAAAAGTCATTTTGGATCAAGTAAGCTTGATCCAAAATGGTGTTAAACTATGTACTGTACATGTATATAGACACAACATAAACTACACATACAAATGAAGAGATGTAATGGTCTGGATCTGATATGAACTAGATTTTTTCTGATGATAATTGCATATCACATTAAGCAGTCACTTAGCAAGCTAAAAATATATTTTAAAAATATAGCATTCTTAACAATTAAAGTCTTTTAAAAATTAAATGTTTGAAATAATTTATAATTTTTTTGCATTAAATAAAGAAAATAAACAGTTTTTGTTAAAATATAGAATAAATTGATAGCAAAATTGTTAATGCATTATTCTTTGTTTTCTTGAACAAGTTTTAATTCTAGTACAAGAAAAATATTTGTGTTTACTGATTTTTAATACAAATTGTTTAGGATAAATGCTTGCAACTATAAAAATATGCAATATTTCAGTAAAAGTTATCAAGAAATAAGAAAATAATTTAACATAATTTTCACTTTATACATTATATTATTCGTTTCTAGATTTACAGTAGAGCATCGATTATCCAACTCAATTGGGGAGTGAGGTTGGTCGGATAATTGAAAAGTCGGATAACCGAAAAGTATGAAAAAATCCATTATTAGTGTAGTATATTATTATATCCCATGTAATTAGTATATTAGTATATAGCTATTAACCTACTTCGTGTTGAATTTTCATCAATGTTAAGCCTAACAAAAATTTTTTAAAAATAATAATCGTCACTGTTGTATCGTTAAAAATTAGAAAATTAAGCCTCGTTTAAATACTGGCTCCCTTTCATGATCAAGCCAGTGTTGCCAGCTAAAACATGTAAAAATAATATTAAAGTAGCCAAGACATAGCCAAATATTGTAGCGCCACATCACTAGCGGACATTTGAAATTTGCCAACTAGAACGGTTGGTTAACCGAGGTGACGGTTAATCGGGGGTCGGATAATCAATGCTCTATGGTATTATCATGTAACAGCAAAAATGATGAACAATAAAATATAAAAATTTAACTATTCATCCTCACTTTTAAGTAAATCTTTTAGATAAGAAAAAAGAAAGAAAAATGAGCAATCATTTATTGTGACATCATCACAGAAATTTTTAATCATATTTTTAATTTATTTAATTTAAAGCATATGCTCTCCACCTCAAATTAGTAGTGTTTTGCCCCTGTACTTTTCCTGTTAGCAACTGAATCGTGCCAGTCATCTATCTAATTCCTTTCAAGTAAAAATTTTTTAATTGAAATAACATGACTTCCAGTTTGTACCAGAAGTTCATATATAGCTAATAAGGACCTCCTACCTCTATGCCAGGGGTGGCCAACAGTTTTTGCCCCAGGGCCGAATTGAAAAGAAAACTTTTTTCACGGGCCGAACCAGAGGCTGCCCTAGGAAGATTTTAAGGTGGTGCGAGATCTCATTGTGGTGTCACCCCGTAGAGACTAAATTGTACATAGAGATTACAGATACATTTTTCACATTATCATGCTTTATCAATGTTCTACGCTGAACTTAAGAGATTTGTAATGGAGTGTTAACTCTAAATACAGAGTGAGTTGTTGTTGACCTGTTTTTTAGGCGTCAGAATTTTTCACCGAGCTATTCGGACTTGAGTAGCTAATATTGAAAGATTAATCGTGGGCCGCATAAATTCATTAGACGGGCTGGATCCGGCCCAAGGGACTGTATGTTGGCTATGCCTGCCCTATGCTTTCCATATCTGGTCTCGGCTTTCATCTATCTAACTCTGTTCTCAAGATTAAGGAAGGCCAGACAGATAGCAAGTGGGAATTTATAGGTCTACAATTTTTTCAAATTGCAGCCCAATAATATGTATTAATGATCATAAACTGTAAAACAAGTAAAAGAAATATATCATTATACTGTTAACTTTACCAAATCATCAATTCATTTTTATAATTTAATAGATACTTGTATCTTCTGATCAAGTTAATCATGCATTTAATTTTAACAGAAATGGCAATTTTAATCCATTTACTAATTTGTGAAAATACAATATTTCTGTTATTATTTGATTTTTCCAATCATAATAGCATAGTTATCAGTACATACCATTATTGATCAATTTAATCATGAACAGGATTTATAGAAAGTAATATAACCTAAAATCTATTAAACAATAAATTTTGTCACAATTTAAGAATCTGGTTATCACTCATTATTATTAGATTATCACAACATAGATTACAGTTAAATTATATTCAATAATGTTATCAATCAGTGTTAGAAAATAGATATTTGATACTGAATAAATTATTTTATCACATGTAACAAAGCATAGAAAGATTCTTTTCTGGCTAATTTTTTAAATAATAAATTTAAACAATATTTATTTAGTAGAAATATTGATAAAATTTGATTTAATTTACCATTTTACATAAATTAAAAAAAATTAATTAATTTGGTTTAATTCTAATTAAGATCTGCCTAAAAAACAAAGATCGATCTAGAGTAGAATTCAAGCTCACATACTTATAAGATGAATTAATTATCACTTTATAGATGTAGATAGAATAATAGTATAATTTATAACATAGAAATTAGAAAAGAAAAAAAAATTGTGTTTAATGATAATTCTTAGTTTTATAAATTTATGTACACTATATTTATCACATATAAATGGCAATATTCTCCTTAGAAATTTTTACTAACCAGATGTAATAAAGAAGTAAACTGAGCGAACCAATAGGAAAAAACTGTGTAATTTTATATAATCTCTGTTATTTGTACCTCTTTTTCTACAAACAAACATAAATTATATATAATCAGCTTCTAAAACCTGATGTCTTCTAATCTTCAAAGTTTTCTCACTCAGAAATTATGTATACAGGTAACCCCCGTATAACACGGTAGTTACGTTCCAAAAAATTGCCGTGTTATGCGAATCCGTGTTATACGAAACAAAGAACTAATACGAAAAGGAGGGTTAGGTTCCAAAAATTAAAAAACATGCTAGTATATTTTCATAATTAAGATAAATATCTTCATTAAAATTTTTTTAAGTGATACATATTAATATAAATTAAACAATGTTTTCTTCGTCATCACTAAAAACACTATTAATTAACCGAGAGCGTTTTCTTTTTGGCAAGTTATCCTTATCCTCTGAGCATTTTTCTGCATTATCTTCAGATCCATGCTTTACCTTTTGCAAAATGTATGTAATTTTAGATTGCTTGCTTCTAGTTAAAAGGTCTTTATAAATTTCCTTATATGGTGCTAAGCACTTATGAAGAATAAAGCAAGTATGGAATAAGGGAAAAACATTCGGCAACATCAGAAGCAGAAGCGTCGCGATCTGGCAACATTAAAACAAGTTTCGAGAAGGATCACGTGTATCGACAGAAGGCGAGAAGAGAAAATTTACATACTTAAGTACTAATAGTTTACGAAAATAATAATTTTCGTGAACTATTATTAGTATGTAAAAGTTTATTACATTTCCTGTTGTACGAGGGTTTTACCCAATTCTCGAACCGTGTCAGAGTGAATCCATGCTATAAAAGTACCGTGTTATACGGGGGATGGTACCAATTCTCGAACCGTGTTAGAGCGAATCCGTGCTATAGAAGTGCCGTGTTATACGGGGGATGGTACCAATTCTCGAACCGTGTTAGAGCGAATCCGTGCTATAGAAGTGCCGTGTTATATGGGGGTTACCTGTACTTCACTAAGAAATATGTATGAATAGAACACTATTCATACACATTTCTTAATTTTTTTCTTTGATGTCTTTCTCCTTTATCATTTTTTTACAAAGCTCTTTACAGGATTTTTTTGGTCCTCTCTCATTTTTTTGTGATTTCTATTCCATTTATAGACTCACATAACCACATTATATTAACTGTCTTCTTTTTATTTCATTATTGTGCATGAATAATAATTTATATAATTTTGTCAGTGCATCCACTTCAGCTGCACTTAACTGGCTTTCTTTCATCTGTCATTAATATTTCTTATATTTTGGCAGCATATAATACATAATATACTTATTATAATGTGTGGCATAATCTTTTAAATTCCTGGCATTCCACCAGATTCAATTCATCCATTTAAACTGCCTTTCTTTGTTTTTTCCCCATTTCCTATTGCTCGGTTATCTCTTCCATCTTGGTTTAATTCCACTTCTACATATCTGTATTAGTCACATATTGTAAGTTCTATTTTTTTCCATTTTTATACTACTTTATGCTTCTTTCATACAAATAGTTTGTTCTCATAATCATAAATAATCCATACATACTTATATTGAAATGAATTTTAAAAAATAGTCTGACAAAGCCTCACAAAGTCTCTAATTTGATTTGGTTTAAAATAACTAAAGAATGTTATTTTCTGGCTTAATTTTAAAGCACATTTTAATAAATACACAATTCTATTTATACATTGATTCTGTTTTCTGAAAATGCAGAACATCCAGAAAAACATGTAGTATCATTGAAATGACATTAGAATTCCAAGATGAAGAGTAGAGTACAGTAGAACCTCGATTATCCGCCCCCCGATCAACCGACCCCTCGGTTAACCAACCGTCCTAGTCGGCAAATTTCAAATGTCCGCTAGTGATGTGGCGCTACAATATTGGCTATGTCTTGGCTACTTTAATATTATTTTTACGTGTTTTAGCTGGCAACACTCATTCGACCATGAAAGGGAGCCAGTATTTAAACGAAGCTTAATTTTCTAATTTTTAACGATACAATAGCGACGATTATTATTTTAAAAAATTTTTGTTAGGCTTAACATCGATGAAAATTCAACGCAAAATAGGTTAATAGCGATATACTAATATACTAATTACATGGGATATAATAATATACTACACTAATAATGGATTTTTTCATACTTTTCGGTTATCCGACTTTTCAATTATCCGACCAACCCCAGTCCCCAATTAGGGTGGATAATCGAGGTTCTACTGTAATTAACTTCTTACCAATATTGATTTCTTAATCCAATAACAAAAAACCTTTAAAAATTCAGCAACAAACTATTTAATTACATTAACATCTTTGGTTTTATTGAAAGACCTTCCTCAGATGCTCATTACAAATTATAAAAGAAAAATATAATAAATAAATTACAAATATGATCAGAATAACATAATATTTTAAATATTCAAAGAGCACTTAATGTTCAAAATACTGAACCATTCAAATGTTTGATATTTTCATTGTTAAGCGTTCTTTGAATGTTAATATTTAAAATTTTCTGATACTTCAATCATATTAATATTTATCATCTTTCATTCTAGTTTTTTATAATTTGTACTGAGCATCTGAGGAAGGTCTTTCAATAAGATCAAAAATGCTATTGTAATTAAATACTCTGTTGCTGGATTTTTAAAAGATTTTTATTATTGGATCAGTAATATAATTGATAGCAAATTGCATGCAGTCTTCAACTTATGAGCAGATTTCTTTGTAAGATGAAAGGAAAAATAATGGTAATAACTGAGTACAGTTCCAAATATTGTGCATAAGTATCAAACAAATAGCTGTATTATTATATTGTCTTATTTAAGGTTAATTAATAATTAAATAATTTGGCTACAGGTAGGTGGCTAAGCCACCATCTCTTGTTAAATTTAATTATTAGAATTAAATTAAATAAATTAAAAATATTCTGGAAGAAAGATTGGATTGAAGACACACATACAACTCGTGCTTAACTGAGCAGATGCATCGCCAGTTATGCTATTTGGACCTCCATTTAATCTTCATTTCCAGATAATTAATTAATTAATTAATTTAGATATTTGAATATATATAAACAAGCTGATAATTTAAATTAATTATTAGATTAGATTTATACATTTCAGTTCTGCATTTTTCTCAATTGTGAAACACTTAAGTTAAGCATTTTTCATTTATATGATTTTGCATTTATAAGTCATATTTTCCAGTACCCTACACACTTTTTTCTCACTTTAAACTGAAAAATTTTAATTAATTATAAAAAAAAAAAAAGTGAAAAAGGAAATTATGCATTCACTTCAAATAGTCCACATCGACAGAAAATTGTGAGAAAATGCAAAAAGTACTGTGAATATGTAATATGTGATGTCACTTCAGATGAATTTTCCTGTTTAGTAAATTATTCCATCAGTAAAATTTTATAAACTTGAAAATATTCACTTTCCATATTTGATAGTTTGAACTAATTTCACTAAGTGAATAAAAATTGTTTTCTGGTTTCCCATCAGTTTCCACTATTCTCTGTCTCTTTGTTCTTTCACATGACTGAGTTAAGTTTGGCAGAAGAAGACAAGTGATATATGTTAAGTCCATTAAAAAAAACAAGAAACAAACAAAACTTGACCAATTTTTTAAAATTGCACAACTTAATTTCACACTGTTTTACCGTTCCTTTTACATATTGTTCAAATGTACAGCCAGAGCTATCTCAAATCTCATAGAAACAAGAAAAAAAAATTTGAGATAGGTTTCAAGATAAAAAAGTTCCTACACAGTAAACCATAAGAGGTTTGATTGGAGGTATGGTATTTTATTTATACAATAACAAATACAGTACTTTATTAGATATAAATGAAACATTTTTGACATGCTTTAACAGAAATATTTCGTCAATAGTTTTTTATGCCTGAGTTTCTTGAACCAATAAGATGCAAGCCAAACTTGTAACTAATCAGAGAAAAGCAGTGTTAATTGCAACCATGTATGTATTATATTGCAGGAGATATTTCTCAACTATGATTCATGCTATCAAAATGTAGTCACTGAGCTTTGAATTTGTAATTGACACTTCACTCAATAATTTGAGATATAGAGGTTTTGGGAGAAAATTATTTGAGTAAATATGGATAATATATTGAATGTAGGTTGAAAATGCAGGGAAAAAATATACTGTAAATAAATTTTGAGATAAACAGGTTTTCAAGGTACATGTACTGTACAGTCCCTATGAATAGGGGCTGTACTGTACACAGTAAATTCAAACTTCTTTGTTAAGAATTACACATACATATTTAGTTGCACAGTGTTAGTTTGGACTGCATTGTGCTTTTATGACGATTATATTCACTCTGAAAGCAATTCAAATAGTTTTACTTATACATTTTTCTCACTTATATGATATTTTTCTCAGTTTCCTTAAAAAATGTATAAAGGGAGTTAGACTATATATTGTAATCAGTTACTGTATATATGCACCATAAGACAATAGAGCAAAAATTTTCAGATTTATTGAACTTTAATTAATGTTATTATTTTAATTAATTAATTGGTATTTTTATTAACAAAGATTTGTGAAAATGTAGGGAGTCAATCATCTCAAAAGAGCCAAAGATAATAATAGGAATTATTATATTCTTTGTATGGAATTAATCTTATTTTTATTCTTAATTTTTATTTTATTTTATTTATTATTAATTTCCTTTAACTTTATAAAAAAATAAAGTTAAAACAATTTTCTGAACCAAGCATCTCTGTAGAAAGGTATTTTTGTTTTCAATTTTTTGAAGTAATGCAAATCCAAGTGATAACGAAACACGAAAATAGCAGTTATTGGGTTGCAATTTTCAAATTTCAGACCAATACATTCATCCATTTGTCCTTTGTTATTCTCAAGAACAGAGTTAGACAGATGAAAATTGGGACCAGACATAGAAAGCTCAGGGGGCTGGGACCCTGATTAACCATCTGTGAACATATGGTCTGAACTGGAAATCTTGTAATTCTGGATAATCAAAAATTGTAGCCCAGTATTGTGATGATGTCACAATAATTGCTTGTGTTTTTATATAATGTATTTATTGTAAATCATAATTATTAAATAATAATTGTACCATGCCATTAGTGAATGGGATTGATTTTTCAAACTGAAAAATATTTTTTAATTACATTAGTTCTGTCCATCATAATTATGGACAGAACTAATCTTATACCTTTTTATGCATGATGATTTATGATTCCTAATTTTTTGTGCATCTTTTTGAATGTTTAATGGATACCAAAAAACTTTTTAATACAGCAGCATGTTTATGTTTCCTTATAAGCAATCAACATTTCATTTTGATATATCTACCTTACTGATTTACAGTATATATGTCACAACTGTCCTTCCTCGTTTCTATTGGCTATTGACTATCTGTTTCTGCTTAGAACAACAGTTGTTAAATATTTTAAATTTATTTTCTGGAACCTTTCTATGCTACAGAGATGGAAAGTATTTCTTATTTTTGTTTCTTCATTATTTTTCACAGAAGAAAACAGTACTTAACAATTTATAAAAAATAATCATTATTTTGACATGTCAATTCACCACACTACCTAGCAAGATGGTCAGTAGAATCAACTAAGTAGAGTGCCCAGCCAAAAGGACCTGGGAGAGCATTGAGGAGATGGTATATGACAGAAATGAATTAAAATGTAAAGTTTATATAACAAATAAATTTAATTAATAACAATTTTATAAAGTTTATAAAAATCATTTATCATACCTCCATGTGGACCTCTTGATGTGGACATATCACCTAAATTGGTTTGTTGTAACATACTACCACTTATAGTGGTAGGCAAATCACTTAATCTTCCAAGATATCCTAATCTCATTTCTATATCTGTTGGGTAGGGTCTTCTGGGATCACCTTAAAATTAAAATAATTATTTATGAAATTTATATTTAATACTATTTAGCAGCAAATAATAATTTGTTTAATTGTGTTTACTTATGCCTTATAGTTTTTCTAATATTCTATTAAAATTTAATCAAATAATTTGTTAGTTTTAGTACTTTTCCCAATATATCAGGTAAAATAAAATGGAAATTAATGAAAAAGATAGAAGAGAAAAAATATTTCTTCTTGCAATGATTTGAGGCAATTGTATAGTTATGGAAACTCATGGGTTTCTTGACAAACAGTTTTTGTGTTGACATTGACAGAGGGGGCAGTTTGAGACTTTGCAGAAATTTTTTCAATTAAAGAGAAACATTTTATTTGTCCTATCCCTTTAGTGCTTAATAGTTCTTGATCAGATTTTTGAGGCTGAGCTGCTGCTGTTCTGAAATGTTTCCACATAATAATCACATTAGTTACAGTTGAATAAGGAATTTGTTAAGTGCAAATTAATCAACTTGGTGCAAAGATTGTATCTGTGACAACAAAAAGATACTGCTATATAAGATAATAAAGATAAAATAACCTTCATTAGTAGTAAAAATGTATTAATTACTAATGTTTTTGGTCATTTTTAATGACTTTCTTCCAAATACCTAAAGTAAATCATTGAAAATAACTGAAAATTAGGGATTACAATCCAGCAGTGTTTTTAATCCAGCTGGATTTTTGCTGGATCATCATCACTCCAGCTGGATCCAGCGCGGATGTATTTTTGGTGCAATTATCTATTTATCTATCTATCTATCCAGAAATTTATGGGTTTTTTAAAGAAATAAAACATTTTTTTTAAATACTTAAGAAATTTTTATTATTTAGACTGGTCACTATAAATCAGTAAAACTTCTTACACATTTAGGTAGTAAACTTAACTTTGGTTTGGTTTAACATTTGAGATAGAGATAATTAACTTTAAATGTTTAGTTAGATTATAATTATAATGTAATCGTTAAGTTAAATAAGAGCAAAGGTAATTCTACTAATTAATTTATATTAATATATATTATAACAACATAAGGACAGATAATCAGTGGCTAAGTGGCTATCAGTCTTATCAGTTTTTTTATATAGGCTCTACATATCAGTCTGTAGTTATTTATAAGTAATTTAATTATTAATGTTAGTAAAGTAGTGAGTAAGTAATTAGTAGTAGTCTAGTAGTTAGCTGATTGAAGACTAGTGATCAACTCATTGATCAGTGACCACTCGTCAGTGGAGAATTTAGTGTCTGAGCCAGTGTCTATTAAAGCTTTATCAATGCATACTTTTACATTGTAGAAATGTTCCAGCATGGTGAGGAGACTTCCACCTAGTGCGGCAGTCAAGAATCAAACTCAATTCTTTGTCCTTTGCTTCTTTTACATATTTTTGCAAAAACATATCATCTTTGGTTGGTGATTTTTTAAAAGTCGTATTCTGTTGTCAAGTGTAAACCTCAGGGTGGAGAGAGAAGTGGGCCATGATGTTGTTTTTTGAGTCAACGAAAGCCGCAGTCATAGTGTTGGTGGTTTTCGATCTGTCAGTGACAACAATGGTGTTTATATTTTGATGAGCTTCCCATTCCTTAAAGGCATAGTATTAGCCGACCGTGAACGATAGCGAGCTTGAAGGCAACAATATCTGACAGACTGCCTGTTAAACATGCGATAGGCTTAGCGGAGAGAGCGACGTGACTATCATTGTGCAATCACCAGAAAAAAGTATGAAAACTTTCTTATTTTTTGTCTCCGGTAAAATATCAATTGAGCTGAAATAAAAGGTTTTCTATTAGCTAGTGACAGTCATCTCCCGGAGGGATAGGTTAGCTTTCATGGACAAGCCATGAGGCTGCAGCTCCCCACAGGCTTAAACTGCAATTGTTCCATCATGTAATTCATTGATGTCACAACGGACCGTAAATTAGAATTATGCACCAGGACTAGTAGAGGATTTACTTATTTTATTTAGTGCAAAGACACTTTATTTAGCGAGAGCAGAAAGTTAACTGGCAATTAGATCAGCAGAGATAAAAGGGCAGGCGGTGCAGTGTAGAGAGGGGTATAACATGTGCCGCACTGAACAGCAATGTCGCTCTCACTGCCAAGCAATAGTGCATGTAGCAAAGTGGCAATGCCAACAACATAGACTTTTGCACCATTATTTAGAAAGTTAATTGAGTATTTGTGGATCCGCAGTGCTGGATCCAACAGGTCAAAGAATGCGCTGGACCCAGCTGAATTGCTGGATGAAGGATCCAGTAATTGCAATCCCTACTGAAAATGTTAGTGATTAAAATATTTTTATTACTTATGAAGGTTATTTTGTGAGTTTGATATATGTAATGTGCTATATTGAAAATTAATGAATATATAAGTGCATCATCCCAAAACAGATGCATATCTGTTCAGATTTTATAGCTATAAGTTACTATCTATACCTAACTAAACCACAACATATGATGATTACAGCCAAGCCATTATGGTCTGTAACTTGGATCATATAACTTGATTTAAGTTATGAATGCCTCAGTAATTAATTAGTGCAATACAAAGCAAATACATCAATGTCAAAATTAAAGTAAGTATAAAAAATAAAATAAAACTAAACTCTGAATATAGAATCACAAATAAACATGTCAAACAAGACTATTCTCTATCGTCTATGCTATTTGAAATTGATGTAAATTTGACTATTTTATAAAACAAATAATATAGTGTAATATGTTGGGATAAAGTCTTTTTGTATGTCATGGTTTTATAATTCTCATTCTATAATTAATGTTTATAGTGTTTTGAATAAACTTTTTTCATAATTAGTAAAAATTGTCAAGATTTAATTGTATATATTGTGACATTATATATTTTTTAAACTGATTTAAAAAATTTTTAAATATGACTATAGATTAATTACAATTGTGCTCAAGAAAGGAGAAATACATACCCTGTTGCCAATTATGTGGAGCTGCAACAGCATTAGATGCACTAATCCGATGGGCATATTTAATTAATTCCTCTGATGATACGCTTCTTTCCTTTGCTTTTTCAATGGCTTCAATCTTTTGTCTAGCTTGATAAAGTGCAACTACCTAAAAATATAAAAAAAAGTCAGAATCCTTAAAAACAAAAATACACTGAATTACTGTCATAGAAAGCATATTACAGAATTACCACAGCAAAGGAATAATTTTCTCAAGACTGTAAAATCTCATCTGACT